TAGCTTGTTAATAAATGTTAATAACCCCCCCAGAGCAATGGCGGGTTAAATCCGATAAGGGATCGATGAGTTATCGGTGATCAATAACCCTCCCTGCTCCTCCCATTGGGAATTTCCACTCTTAATTAGCCTTAATTAGATCATTAATGGCCTTAATCAGCTGTAATTAGCCATAATTAGCTCGTTAATAAATGCCAATAACCCCCCGGAGCGATCGCGGGTTAAATCCGATAAGGGATCGATGAGTTATCGGTGATCAATAACCCTCCCCGCTCCTCCCATTGGGAATTTCCCCTCTTAATTAGCCTTAATTACCCTTAATTAGTTCATTAATGGCCTTTATCGGTCACAATTAGCACTAATTAGCTCGTTAATAAATGCCAATAACCCCCCGGAGCGATCGCGGGTTAATTCCGATAAGCAATCAATAAGTTATCGGTGATCAATAACCCTCCCCGCTCCCCCCAGTGCCGTTTTACTGCTCTTAATTAGCCTTAATTAGTTCATTAATGGCCTTAATTAGCACTAATTCGCTCACTAATAGCCACTAATAATCCCCTAATCAATTGCAGGTCTCTATTGATCGTTTATCGATCACTTATCGATCGCTTATCAATCATTTATTGACCAACTATTGATCACTTTTGGATGGGTTATTGATCGGTTATTGATGGGTTATTGATAGGTTATTGATCATTTATCGATGGGTTATTGATCAGTTATTGACGGATTATTGATTGGTTATCAATGGGTTATTGACAAGTTATTGATCACTATGGATGGGTTATTGATGGGTTATTGATCTGTTATCGGGTTATCGATGGGTTATTGATGGGTTATCAATGGGTTATAGATGGGTTATCGATGGGTTATTAACGGGTTATCGATGGGTTATTAACGGGTTATTGATCACTATGGATGGGTTATCGATGGGTTATCGATCAGTTATCAATGGGTTATTGATCAGTTATCGATGGGTTATCGATCAATCACTATGGATGGGTTATGGATGGGTTATCGATCAGTTATCGATCAGTTATGGGTGGGTTATTGATCAATCACTATGGGTGGGTTATCGATGGGTTATGGATGGGTTATCGATCAGTTATTGATCAGTTATGGGTGGGTTATTGATCAATCACTATGGGTGGGTTATCGATGGGTTATTGATCAGTTATCAATCAGTTATCGATCAGTTATTGATCAATCACTATGAATGGGTTATCAATGGGTTATGGATGGGTTATCGATCAGTTATCGATCAGTTATGGGTGGGTTATTGATCAATCACTATGGGTGGGTTATCGATGGGTTATGGGTGGGTTATGGATGGGTTATGGATGGCTTATTGATCAGTTATCGATCAGTTATTGATTGATCATTATGAATGGGTTATGGATGGGTTATCGATCAATTATTGATCAGTTATGGGTGGGTTATTGATCACTCACTATGAATGGGTTATGGATGGGTTATGGATGGGTTATCGATCAGTTATTGATCAGTTATTGATCGATCACTATTGATGGGTTATGGATGGGTTATGGATGGGTTATCGATCAGTTATCAATCAGTTATGGGTGGGTTATTGATCAATCACTATGGGTGGGTTATGGGTGGGTTATGGATGGGTTATGGGTGGGTTATCGATGAGTTATCGATGGGTTATCGATCAGTTATTGATCGATCATTATGAATGGGTTATGGGTGGGTTATGGATGGGTTATGGGTGGGTTATCGATCAGTTATCGATGGGTTATTGATCAGTTATCGATGGGCTATTGATGGCGGCTCACGTGACGACGGCGTTGGGGTTTTTCTCCACGGCGTACAGGCGCAGCCGCGCCCCGGCCTGGCGAGCGGCTCTGAGCGCCGCGGCCACCAGCGGCCCCCGGCCGGCGCCCAGCACCATCACCACCCTGACAACAGCCGGAAACACCCTGAGAACACCCCGAAACACCCCGAAACACCCCAAAATCACCCAAAATCACCCAAAAATCACCCCAAATCACCCCAAAATCACCCCGAAACACCCCGAAATCAACCGAAATGACCCCAAACACACCCAAAAACAACCCGATGCACACCAAAAACATCCCCAAATCACCCCAAATCACCCCAAAATCACCCCGAAACACCCCGAAATCAACCGAAATGACCCCAAACACACCCAAAAACAACCCGATGCACACCAAAAACATCCCCAAATCACCCCAAATCACCCCAAAATCACCCCGAAACACCCCGAAATCAACCGAAATCACCCCAAAAACACCCAAAAACAACCCGATGCACACCAAAAACATCCCCAAATCACCCCAAATCACCCCAAATCACCCCAAAATCACCCAAAATCACCCCAAAACACCCCAAAAACACCATCACCACCCTGAGAACAGCCGGAAACACCCTGAGAACACCCCGAAACACCCCGAAATCACCCAAAATCACCACAAATCACCCCGAAA